ACTTTTTAAGCCGTCCCCCAACGCTCCCTATTAATAGGAGCAGCAGAAGAAAAAAGAGGGAAAAAAATCAAAATAGAAGGCACAACAAAGGCACAAACGCATATAATACACAATAAAGACGGAAATTAAAAAGTTAAAAAAAAAGGACTGCTAGAGAGGCTCAGAGGACTGTGACGCTTTGCGTGCTGCCAGCCACTGCCGCACATGCCGCCTCAACTTAAAAGTGTGTTCGGCAGCGAGCACCCACTGCCAGACGGCGGAGATCAGCAGTGGAATGAGCGGCCAAAGCAGCGTTGCACCGGCACCGTAAATGTCCCTCATTTTGTCGCCGAGCATGTATCGTACAAACTGTTCAATTTGATATAGACCAGCGACACACGCCAGGAGAAGTGCGTCAGCTGCAGACCATGACGCGAGCACGTACCAGCGTGGGTACATGAGGGCATAAAGAACCGGAGCGATCAGAATGGTAAAAATACAGACGATGAGGAAAAATATGTTCGTGACACTGATCTCCCATAGAGTCATCGAACGGTCTTCGGGCATAATTACCGAAGCCATTCCCTTCACGGTGTACCGAACACAAGGAACCACCCAGCAGAGAATGACACATACAAAGATAAATGTGGTGTTAGCCAATCGCAAAAGCATGTCCTTACTCCACAGCATGGCCCACCAATTCCTCTGCTTGCCCTCGTCCCTCTCATTGGGCTGTGCCTCGGGCACATCGCAGGCAACTGGCCCCTTCAACATTCCTTTTTTGCGAAGTGACGTGTTGCGACGCCAGATGGTGGTCGCGTAATTCCCAATAAAAATGGAAAGTGCCGTTGCCGCAAGAAAAAAGTAAAATCCAGGATGCAGCTCCACCGAGGCAACGCCTTCCAGCTGCAGCCCTGACACCATAAGGAGCATGCCGCAGGAATCGAGGAACGAGAACTTGCCAAAGTAATCAACCAGCCTCAAGGCCACCAGTTCGGGTTTCTGTAGGAATAGCGTGCATATAACGATGAACACCAGCTTGATGTAAGGGTAGACACCACTGAAAGCAAAAACAAGGACCGCAAACACGTACACGCGTGCACGATACATGTTTCTTGTAGAGTCCATGAGTGAAAAACTCATTAATGGAAAATCTTCCCCCAAAAACAAACTGGCCGCAGTCGTGACGTTGGACCAAGTAAAGCCAATGGCTGCGAGAACGGTCATAGTCATCAAGGCAGTGTCTTCCAGTAGCACACGCTTCAATGAGATGGGGTCACCTTCGCGTGTAGTTACCACATTTCGACGGTAACGCCACACACTCATGGCGGCGGTTGCCAAAATAAGCGCCACACCGATAACAATCATGCTCACCAAAAGCGGAGTTGAGGGTGTAGTTGAATACTCACTTTTCTTCACATCTGGAAGGTATGCACGGGAATCCTTAACAACCCCATAGCTCATCATGTATCCAAGCATTTTACCCAAAAGTTGTGACAAAAGTGGTCCCAGGTTATTTATCACGATGTGGTCATATTCACCGAGGTTCTCGACACGGATATTTTGAACTGTGACACCGTTGGAAATCGGCACACTGCAATTCTCGCCGTGCTTGTCGCACCTGAAGTCATTAAACGCGACTTCTGCAGAGAGGTGGAAGGTTTGCGGGATGTTTAGCTCCACGAAGCCATTCTCAACAACCGGCAAATGCTGGGTGATGTCATTAAAAGCCTCCTGAAGCCCCATCATGGCAAACAAACCCTCCACCTTTTCCAATGAATCCTTCAACGCAGCAGGGCCGTCAAATTTCAGGTGAACCCCGTTGGTAAATGTCAACCCCAGGCGCAATGTTGTACCTGCAAGGATTGAGGCATTGGTCTGTATGCCAAGAAAAGCCGGAGCCTTGTTAATGGCCTTCACAACGCCTCGCGCCAACGCCAGATCTCCAAGCGGTGTGGCTCCTTCAACCAGAGGCGGGGGCGGTGCGGGCGGGTAGACTGTTTGATTTTTAAGTTGCCCCAAAAAGGGAGGTAGGCCCGCGACGCAGATGCCTTGTGAGACCTGATCCCCAATCGTACCTATGAGGTCGTCCAAGACAGATTGCACTATTTCGTCCGGCGGTTGTAGTAGCAGGCTCTGCACAGAAACATTGAAAATGCACTGATCCAAGACGGCGCCGTTGTTGTGGCACGTGTCGTCCACAGACTTGGTAGCTGTGAGGTGCACGGGCGGCAGCTGTGCGTGGCCAAACAGCCGGGAGCTCGAGAAGAAGGGGTCCAATTGCACAGAGCATTTGACGTCGGAGAGCTCTGTTGTCGCCGCAGACCAATAAGTTGAGTTTAATGTCCAATTTGTGGCACCAATTCCAATCGCCGCACAAGAAAGGTTGCTCACGGTTCCCATTGAAGGGACATCCACTGAGAACTCAGGTAGGGACAAGTTGGCGAGGGTGATGGAACTCCACCAAAACAAGAGTGAAAGGCACCCCGCGGACATCTGGGGCAAACAAGCGTGATGGTGGAGGCCTTCTCGGAATGCTCACAGCAGGAATAGTTGTATTCCCTCTACGAAGACAGTGTCTTCTTCCTTCTTTTTTAGTTTCGTCGTGCGATCTAAAAAGAAGTTATTTGAAGTAAATATATTTATATATTTATATATAAATATAAATATATGACTGAATTTATATCTTACCTTAAAGTTGTGGTCAACTTCTTGTTGGTTAGGCAATGAAACCAAACAACAACAATGAAGCAAAGACAAGGAAACGCAGGAGCGTTTGTGTACAGCGGCTTGACTAGTCGGTTGTGGGGACGTAAGCAGCAAGTAAAGGGGGAAAAAAAAGGTAGTCAAAAATAAAAAAACGAAAAACAAATTATAATAATAATTCAAGGGACTTGGCAGGTCATGAGTCAGTGCCATTATTCACACACACACAAGCAGGCACAGATACACACATTGCACGCACAGAAGATTCCCGCACCGTGCGGAGTCGCCTCATTGTGTAATGAACCCTGACCAAGTAAAGCTTCCAATTTGCGCTTCAAGCACAACTTCTGTATAGCGGAGACGCATTGGCACCTTGTCCTTTGTTTGAAGGTAAACCACGCAGGTGAGGAGGGGCGTTCAACGCACCAAGGCGGGTAGCGCTGCGAAGAGAAGAAAAAGAAAATACATCAAAAGACACGAGAGGAGCGTCGCCGAGGCAACAATAAAAGGAGCAGTTATAGTGCCCCATCGCCGCCACAAACCCACCTCTCTGCTACCACTCTCGCCGCAACATGCCGCCCGCTGTGGAAAATTGAATCCCCCACATCAACGTCTCCAGTTTCAATAAAAAAAAACTGCAGTGGGTGCTGGCGGAGCACTTTGTGAGTTGTGTAACGCAGCAAGTACAAGGATGCATTTATCTCTGCTCAGCAAGGTTCACATATAATACAAACTCAAAGATTCTTTCGACACCAAACTTACATTCGACAATAACTGAAGCCACGGAATCAGCGCCCCCGTCGCATCCATTGTATTTGCCAATTTGCGGAATACGCAGTCGTATTGTCAAAAAAAAAACAATAATCTTTTGTTTGTTTGTTTGTTTGTTTTTTCCTGAAGACAACTCTACAGCATGTAGAACAGGCGTTGTGTAAACCTCCCCCAGTTAATGACCCATCAGCCAGCACGTTCCCGCAGAGAATATGGTTTGCGTCACCACCCCTATTACCGTAAAAACTCCCATCGGTGTCGTGATGCAAAAGGAGCACGCAGAGTAAGACCATTGTTACTGTTGAAAGCCTCGGATTTCCTGTGCGTGGTTGAGGGTTTCATTAAACCAGCCACTGCGGCTGAGCAGGCGGAGAGTTCTGCGCTCAAGTTGCGGGATCCGCATACGCAGAGACAGAGAGAGAAGTGACTGGCCCCACAGCGTTAATGCGCCTTCCAAGAACCAGCGACAGCCAACTTGTCCCCATTGGCAACCCACTAAAACATTTGCCCAGCAACGGCCACACCGTGGGGTTTGAGCGTCCCACTAGTCCCTATTAAGGTTCACGCATTATGGCCCAACTGTGTGATCTTCAGGAGAAAGAAAGAGAGAGGTAGAGAGGAAAAGGAAGCGAAAACACAAGACATCAACAATGATCGACATACAATCTTTCATCAGTGCCTAGCTTCGCCATTTGTGGAGCATCCATTAAAGTCCATAGCAACATGTTTTTTTTCTTCTTGTTGTTGTGGGCGTTTATCCTTACTAAAAGTTGCCCCGCTCTCCATCTTACCAACAAAAGGAGGCCAACTAAAGAAGAAAATACACATATCCTCCCAATAGAATGTGCTCTGAAAAGTATTAGTGCTTATCTTGACCCAAGAGAGCGGCCTCGTGTTCTGGAATGTAGTCAAAAACATCAACACCACCTTCACCAAAGCACTCATCCAAAAAATGAAAGTCGTCATTGAATATCATGCTGAAATCCTCCTCATCTTCGTCCCCAGCATGGGATGAAGAAGGACGTCTGTCCGTTTCCCACCGAGCAGAGGACAGAAGTGACAACGCAGCGGGGCACATAGCGCTCGTCATCCTTTGCGTGAGGGGGGCATGAATCCTTCGTAGCATATCTTCGTATTGCTATTCCTACTTGTCAGCAACACAAATCAACACGGCAAAGAACAAAAAGAAAAAAGAAGAAGGAAGGAGGGAGAGGACAGTAGGAGAAATAAAGAGTCACGTCAATAGAACAACGAGGCACGCGCCCAAAAAGACCTCCAACAACAAATTCTGAGGTAAATATAATTTGACAAGAAGAGTAACAATAAAAATCTCTGTGTATACGTCACCCAAAGTGCATTACAACGTATGGTCCACCTGTGCCCACCACCCTCTATACGAAATAACATTGGGTGTCAGCGTGTTCACGCAGTGCAAATGATGCCGCCTAACGGTTTCTACATCCCTGTCAATGAAGTTATTGCAGGAGGGGCAAATGTAGCCTCGACACTTTTTATCAAACACGCCCACTAGGTAAGAATGCTTCTGCTGCTCCTCTACAAGAAAAGCGTACGTGGATAGCTTCTGACTATCCCACTCCCCGTTGTAGTAGTATGAGTCTTCGAGTCTCCATTGAGTATTCCGAAAGTCCTGAGGGACCCGGGAGGTGCATCTCCGTCGCCTGAAGAGGGAGATTACACGCACAACAATGACAGATGCTGCAGTTAGAACAATAACCGCAAGAGCACAGGGAAAGAGGCCCGTCACACCATTTGCAACACTGGACCCAATGTCGGAATCAAAGAGAGAACAAGGAAGGAAAGGCAACATGAATTCGCGACATCAATCCCCACCCAGGCACATGATATCAAATGAAAACTCCATGAAGCGATGAAAATGCCATAATTTCTCCCCTTGATCTTCCTTGGCGTCCATATTATTTTTTTATTGTTATTTTCATTTTTTTTTGGAGGCAAAAATCGTCAAACGCACTGAGGAACAGATCACACGCAAAAACCAGTTATGCAGAGGCGACAGCAACACACTTTCGCTGTTGCCGCGTTCCCTTCCCCTCCGTCAATGGAGCAGATAATACAAGGAGCACACGGTGAAAACCACCAAGGCACCAATAAGAAGTGTATGTCGCCATCCATAGCGACCCATCACCCCTTCAATATGCTGTACCGACCGATTTACCCCACTGCTCGCCCTAGAGAACGCACTGCCGACAGTTTCCAATAATCTATTATGAGCTTCGGCTTCTTCCAGTAGAACGCCTGCTGAGGCCTTCATTCGTTTTACGGTGTTCCCCAGAGCACCCAAGATGGCCTCATTCTCTTGCATTATCTCCTCCTCAAACTGGGCCTGATTCTCGCCGTTGTCGCCGCGTTCCTTGGGTTTGGCGTTGTAAAGAGAAGATCGCATTTTCATTCGTTCTGCTAGTAAGATAAATCTGAAGCTAAGTTCAGCAACAGTGAACGGAGGAAGCACTACACGCCCACAGAACAAAGCGCAGTCTGTCTATAGTGGGGTGGGGAGAAGCGTCCTCTCCACGGCACTCCCTACACAAAACCGTTGAAATGAAGGCAAGCAGTGAAGTGGGGGAAAAAAAAATAATAATGAAAAAAAAGGGGGGGGGAAATCCAAACAGCCAAAGCCACAGTTGCTATACCATTAAATCCTCAGAATAAAAGTGTGATTGATAGAAAGAGAGAGAGAGAGACGAAAAAATCCTAGGTGCAACGTACAAGAAGAATTGGAGACAAAAACATTTCCGTACGCCAAGTCCCAGTAGCATTTGGGTCTTCACGATTTCATCATTCGCCTGCAGCCAACGTTACGACGCTTCATTCTTCGCTTCTTGTCATGCTCCATGCGAATATCAATCCTGTAGGGCCGCTTCACGTTATACCCCATGCCTCCCACAAAAGTCCGCTTCAGAAATTGGGAGCACAACAGGCGACACTGAGCTAGCATGATGTATCGGTTGCTGATGCAAATAAGAATAAGAAGGACGCAAAAAAAAAAAGGTCACAATTAAGCAGAGAAAAAAAAAGGAATGAAACAATATTCAGCAGCAGAGCAGGAAGATGGGAAAATAAAACTAAAGTGTTTCTGTGTGTGAGAGAGAGTGAGAGTGAGAGAGGTAGGAATATGGCTGTAGCCAAGGACGCGGTACAAAGCTCGCACCTCGGAAACGAGAGGGCTGGGGACGGGGAAAAAAAAAACAATACGGCCTTCTGCAGACAACACGGTAACAATACAGACAAATCACACACATGCGCACAAAAGGAAACATCAGCGGTGATTTTGTCAAACCCCTAACTCGAAAAAAATGATATAGATTCCATTTCAGGCCTAATTTACTCTACCACCTTTTGGCGATGATACAATATTAAGGTATATGTGCACAATGGTGGATCCAAAGACAATAAACAGCATGAAGATGGCAAGCCACGTTGACACGGATGTCATATTCGCCTTCGCCTCACGAGCACGTTTTTTTTCCTCGTTCGATAGACGGGGAAAGCGAATTTGCTCGTTCTGCTTCTGTGCCTTAGCACGCATCGTCCTTGCCGGGCTCATGGGCATTTTTTCTTTGGATGTTGTTTTCACTTCCTCGATTTGTACTTCCCCCTCCTACCTACCTTTTTGGCCCCAAGCTACAAAGAACCGCGAGAAGCAAGCGTAGTAGTAGTAGTAGTAGCAATAACAACCACCTAGGCGGGTTTTCCCGACTCAAGAGAGTAGAAGAAACCGATAATATATAATTTTTAATTTTTAAATCCCGGGGTTTCGTAAACCTCGAGCAGTGTCACTGTCGCCGTGCGCAGCCGCCCTATATGTTGGCTTTCTTCATACAACGGCAATCGTCTCCGTGTCGTTGTCCAGCGTCCTCCACAATTTCGCCTACCTCGCAGAGGATGCGCCATGAGCGCCACCACGCGTTATTTGTCGTACCACTCTGCGGGTGCGCTTCACTGAGGCGCCACCTTGCGCCGCACAATCGCTTTTTCTCTCAAGGACGCAGATGGATCCACGCTTGAAAACACGGCCCGGCCTCGTACTCGACGCAGACTGTCTACAGCGCCTATCGAGCGAACTCGGTTGCACGTTGCTTCATGGTAGCAAGCCGTGGAGAGGTGCGTCCGCTGAAAAACGAAGGGATTTGCGGAAACAAAAGAGAGCCCTCCTTGAGAACGCCTTTGGTGCAAAAGCAAACAACCAAAGAGAAATCACCACGCACAACAACAACAGCAAAGTGTGGGGCATCCTTCACAGGTCCATTTGTTGACCACTCGGTATGCAGAGAGTTGCTGGAGAAGCAAGCGAGTCATGTCAACAGCTGCCCCAGAAAAAAAAAAAAGTGAACATTCTCCTCACGTTGCCGTGGATGGAAATTCGAGGAACGTTCCCTCCCAGTCTGGAAGGCAATTAACAAGCAAACGCACACACGCCAGCGTAGCAAGTTACTTCCTGCAATGACTTGTAATAGATTCTCGAAAGTGTCGAGGATTAAAGTAATGCGACTTCTCTTCGAGACGCTTTTCCATTTCCTCTAATCTGCTTGGGACGCTACGAAAATCCTTAGTGGTGTCGACGCGAAGATACAGGTTGAAGGGTAGAGCATAAGGTATACGTTTCGCGTATTCAACGATGTGGTTGAGGCACCGCTCCCCATCCTCCTCGCTCCACCAAAAACAGGCTTGAGGATGCAAAAAACAAGTAATGTCAACAACCGGTTGTAACAATTGACGCTCCACCTCAGCAAGCGATGAACGCGTCACTTGACGAAAGGAACTCCTCACGACGATAGAGGGAGCAAAAGGCAGAATAACGGGAATTCCATCCTCGAATATTTGCGGCAAAGGTTCCCTAAACCAAGGCACCTCACGACCATCCGTTGACACCATGCGCTGCTCCGTTCGTGCAGCCTGTTTCGCCGGCACTTCAGCACCCGATTCATGTACCACGGTGAATGCGCTGGAATACGCACTTGGGCAATCGGGGGCGCCCATCTCACCGGACTTCAACTCCAACGGCTGTGGATTGCGCTCAACCGCGTACATTTCCAGCATCTCCCAGACGACTTGTTGTGTGACTGCCGCATGTAGTTCCCACTCATGCGCCGCTGCCTCTATCTGTGGGACCACGCGTGGGTCCTCGGGATGAACGCGGAACTCGTACCCGATCGTCGAGACCTGAAAAACAGGATTCTCGGGGGTGCTCCAGACGCGTGGACTGAGCGAATGATTAAAACGGCCCACAACAGAGAAGTCAGGGGCCGTCCTCACCTCAACCCGTACACCAGAACGTTCAACACTACGAACAGAAGAGCGATGGTAAAGTTGCAGAGCGGCAGGATTAGCCTTTGTCTTCCCTTCAAAGTAGACATCGTTTGTGTGGCCGTAGAGTCCACAACGCCACCCATGCTCCGCCACGCCCCGATTAACACAAATCGATGTGGAGTGTCTCGTGTCGGAGCGACGAAGGACTCCACACGTCTTCGCCTCAATGGCTGGAAGAAGTACGGCTCGTTCCGTGCGTGAGAGAGCGAGAACATTGTCAAACAGATCTAGTAATTCGGTCCGATTTAACCACTTGAGTTCATGCCAATCAATTCCCTCCTCCTTCAGTTTCTCGAAGTGGCGGGTAAAGTCACACATCATTTTGTACTGGCGCCTTCCAGCGTGACCACTGAGCCTCTCCAATATGATACGCAAAGAAACAAACCGGTTTTTTTCATCTACGCTGTTAAAAGAGCTGCTGAGCACCATCTTTCGAGAGATCGAATACCGCGGATGATAGCGAAGCTCGTCCGCCGGCACCACGCTGCGCGTAGGGACCTTTGTGACTTTGCGCAACGCCAAAGAGCATCGCATTTACGGCGTTACGGCGCAAAATTAATAAATAAAAACAAATCAATCTAGCAAGATGCAGAGGGATTAAAGGTGTGAGGAGAAACTTGTGTTTGTCTCGTTCTTCTTCCTGTTTGCCCCCTCAGCAGAAAATAGCAAGAAGAAAAAGTTTTTAGAATAAACCCTCACAAAACAAAACAAAACAAAAACACACGTGCCCAGAGGGGCAGAATGAAATTTTCTCATCAGCTTCGTGTATTGCACTTGTGTGAGTGTGTGCGCCATTGCTTCCTCTTTTCACATAGAACTGCAAACGCACGGGCCTCAGAAACAAGGCACCGCCAAAAAAGGTTTTGCGCTTATTTCCAACACCACCACTCACCCTC